AGGCTTGTGAAGCTGGTCGGTTATTTGGCCTAAAAGTTGACCCTCACCTCCTATTATTTGATGAGTTTCTATTTTGAAACTGGCCTCCCTAAGTGTTATGGTTTGGTGAAAAAAATTTGTTGAGATCCAAGATGGATGGCTAGAAGAGTTGGGAGCAATCCAACGATCATTGGATGCGAGGAGGAGGATCCGGTCGCAAAACCATTTCGACCAATTGCAAGATGAGCAGTGACTGGAGCTGAGTTTATCTTGGTTTCTTCTCAGCGAAGACCTTTTTCATGGGCTACCGGTCAAATCATGGAGGTCATCAAAAGACAAGGAGGTATCTCTGGTGCGGAGAGATGCAATAATCTCTCGAAGCTCTAGGCCTAGACCATTCAAAACATAAATTGTTAGATCATCATTAGATAAGGGTCGATCAACCATACCTAGTTCATCAACCACCTCCTTAAGAGAACGAAGATATTCAATGACCAATTTGCCATCACGATGCATGTTTTGCAGCCATTCCTTGAGTGTAATAACACGAGCAAGAGACCTATTAGCATAGAGGTTCGCGAGTGTTTCCCAAGCTTGTTGGGCTAATGTCACCTAAGCAATATAAGGAGTGATGTTTTCTGATATAAAGGTTAAGAAGGCATGATGGAGTTACTAGTCTTGGTAGATCCAAAAATTGTGATTTGGATCTACAACAACAAGGCGTGGGAAGGACCCATCAAGGAAACCGATCAAATCATAACCGGTAAGGAGAAAGGTGAATTGAACTCTCCATGAAAGGTAATTTGTTGGGGTAAGTTTCTAGGGAAAGGTAGTAGCATGAAAGGACATGGGATTCTGGGGTTGATTGGCATTAGTGTTGGTGTTGAGTGTGGAGACAGCAGAGAGTGGGGTATTGTCACTGAAGACCATGAGGAATGAGGAGGAAAGGAACTCGCTAGAGTTTGGTATGCTTTGATACCACTAATGAAGGCAAGAGAATAGAATTGGAATTAATGCTTTATTCACATATATAGCCAATTATATACATATAGATTGTCTTGCATGTAACCCTACTACAAAAGGGAAAGTCTATACAATCTTTGATACAATAATTAACAATAGAATATTGAGTAGAAATTAAGAAAAATAAATTTTTATATGAACTATCGTAAATTATTAGAAAAATTCAATTTCTTTAATAAATTATTGAAT